ATTATAAAAAATGAGGGGGGAGGGATAGCTCAGTGATTTGAGCATTGGCCTGCTAAACCTAGGGTTGTGAGTTTTATCCTTGTGGAGGCTATTTGGGGCAAAAAATTGTCAGGAATGGTACTTGGTCCTGCTGTGAAGGCAGGGGACTAGACTCAATGCCCTTTCAAGGTCCCTTCCAGTTCTAGGAGATAGGCAATCTGCATTAATTTATATATGACATTATAGGTAATGCCTCTTATTGGAATAATTCAGAATTAAATGGATAAGCTTTTGAAATTAGCACCTTTTTCATCAGGGACCAAACAGAGATTTAGACCCTGATGAGGACAGTTTGAATCTCAGAAATAATTTTCATAGTCATTCCCATAGAAGACATCACCTAATGCTGTGTTGTTATTTTGTGGAATCTCTCTTTCTTCTTGGGACAGCCTGGATTGGCCAGGAGCCTCACTTCTACCTTCATCAAGAATTAGGAAAGATCTACCTCTTTCTCCAATGTGTTCTTTTTAAGGGTGATGTTCTTCATTTTTTCTCTTAGCTCAGTAATTGTTAGATTCTTCTTGGAATATTCAATGGCAGAATGACTATCCATGTCCTAGTAAGCGCAACAATAGGACAGAATTAACAATGTTTAAAGAGTCAGACTAAAGATATTTACCAGGTCTGCTTGAGGTCTGTTCAGAACTATCAGTTTCTGAACTTGTTCCCTAGGTCAGATAGTGCTGGAAGAGTAGTGACTTTAAGGGGAGAGAGAACACTTAATATTGCTGTTCAGTGACATATCCAGAGATAGTTCTGATTGATTTTGGAGGGAACCACATCTAGAGGTCCTTAGCTGGAAGTCCACCCATGGTTTTAACTATGTAACAGCAATATCTTGTGATCTGCACTGACTGATCGTTAGTTTCCAGGTGGAATGTAAGGTGTCTATTTTAACTTATAATACCCAAAATGGTTTCGAGCCCCCTCCTGTTGAAGCACAACCTCAGCTATGATCAGCAGAAGTTTTTGTAGCTAGAGATCCCTGACTTCAACAGGAAGGGCCTGCTGACTGCATGAGTTCCATGAGGGAGCTGTGACTGCAAAACTCACTTTCTCCCTTGGTTTATCAGAGCACAAACTTGTGAAAGTTCCAGGCATGCTATAAAGGACCATCTTTTTTTTCTTCCTGTTTGGGAAACGTGGCTTGAAAGGCAGGAGGTTAGTTAGGATTACTGTGTTGGGAAAACATAACCATGCCAGTGGTGGGAGATTCAGTTTATTATATATAATTACTTCAGTGTTACCTCATCTGTTATAAAAATTCCTAGTGGACAGTTGGAATGAGAAATACATAAACGATGGAAAGAATGAATTAAGGGGAACAACAATAATTCTCTCTCCCTCCTAAAGACTTCACAAGTATTTGGGTGTGATTAAAATTGAAGGGTAGGCTTGAAGTCAAAGTGGGAGTCATTCTCCTTTGAAATTTTATGTGTGCATTATTTATTTTTATTACAATAATAACTACATGCCCACCATGCAAGCCAAGGTACATATACTTAGCAAGACATATTCACTGTCTCAAAAATAGCATGATAGGAGTTTTCAAATACCTAAATGGGTGTTTCAAGAAGGAGGGAGAAAAATTGTTCTCCTTTACCTCTGATGTTAGAACAAGAAACAATGGGCTCATACTGCAGCAAGGGAGATTTAGGTTGGACATTAGGAAAAACTTCCTAACTGTCAGGGTGGTTAAATAGTGGAATAAATTGCCTAGGGAGGTTATGGAATCTCCATGTCTGGAGATATTGAAGAGCAGGTTAAATAGACATTTATCAGGGATGATCTAGATGGTGCTTGGTTCTGCCAAGAGGGCAGGGGACTGGACTTGGTGACCTCTCAAGGTCACTTCCAGTTCTAGTATTCTATAATTCTATGAAAAAGCTTTCCATCCAATTGCACAAGACAATCGAAGGGATGGGAAAATGGAATACCTTTCCCATTTGATAGATGGGAACTGAGGCATACAGAGAGTAAAGACCTGGCCTTGCAACTAATTATGTGTGGTTGCAGCAGTATTCCAATGCCAGGCTCTTCAGGGAGGTACTACATGAGCTCACAACTGCCACTACATGCAATTGGTTGAAGGATCAGGACTCAGTGACTTGACCAATGTCATATAGATCTCCTGAATCCCAGTCCAGTTTTGCAGGATTTGACCCCACTTTCAAAGTTGTCCTTTGTTCTGCTCTGAATTTGTAAAAAAGGGCTTAAATAAAAACTCAAAATATCAAAAAAAAAATATAGACCTATTAAGAAATTAAATGATTAAATAACAAACATATCCCATCTAGGAATTGCTAGTAATGTTGTTGTACATCATGAAGCAGCCATACAACTGAGGAAGAATTAATCATTCCATCGACTCTTGGGTTTCACATGTTATTTATTCTTTTTCAAACACTGAAATAAAGTGAGTTCAATATCAGTTTTAAATTGTCCATTTGTCTATTTTTCTCTCTTCTCTTTTTCCATGGGGCTTGTAGCTCTTCTGCCATGAAAGCAGGCCATACAACTTTAAAGTCTTCAGTATTGTTTGGATAAAATAGGCTAGTGCTCCATTTCCTGAACATGCAACATACTGTATTGTTAATCATTATTAGCCTGTTTCCCATTGACTCAAATGGACACTGAGTCAGGTCCTGGATGAGAGGGAAGACTCAAGACTTCTAAACTCTCCCTATGATACTGAAAGAAGAAAATTACTGAAACGACTCTATATAATTCCATGGTATGCCCATATCTTGAATACTGTGTACAGATGTGGTAACCTCATCTCAAAAAAGATATATTGGCATTGGAAAAGGTTCAGAAAAGGGTAAAAAAAATGATTAGGGGTTTGGAGCGGGTCCCATCTTTAGAGAGATTATAAAGACTTGGACTTTTCAGTTTAGAAAAGAGGAGTCTAAGGGGGGATATGATAGAGGTCTATAAATCATGACTGGTATGGAGAAAGTGAATAAGAAAAAGTTATTTACTTGTTCCCATAACATAAGAACTAGAGATCACCAAATGAAATTAATAGGTAGCAGGTTTAAAATGAACAAAAGGAAGTTTTTCTTCATACAGCATACAGTCAACCTGTGGAACTCCTTGCCAGAGGATGTTATGAAGACCAGGACTTTAACAGGGTTCAAAAAAGAACTAGATACATCCATGGAGATTAGGTCCATCAGTACTTATTAACCAGGATGGGTAGGAATGGTGTCCCTAGCTTTTGTTTGTCAGGGGCTGGAAATGGATGAGAGGAGAGGGATCACTTGATAATTGCCTGTTTCTGTTCACTCCCTTTGGGGCATCTGGCATTGGCTACTGTCAGAAGACAAGATATTAGGCTAGATGGATCATTAGTCTGACCCAGTATGGCCGTTCTTATGTTCTTAAAAAGTTTATCCCAAGGAATGTCGTACAGACTTCTGCTATCTCTAGTAAGATTCAAATGGAGTATGTCAACATACAAACTTGGAGTGTGGGGTAGCAGAGTCCATTTAGCAAGTTAATGCACAGCAGGCCAATGTGAATCACACTCTAACTTTCTGCACGTTAAATAGCCATGTAGGCAAGCCCCACTTTTACACGCATAGGTTCTGCTCTTGCAATGTGAATTGTATGGGTGAATGCCTGCACCCACCTTGATCTCTGTGGGTTCTGCCCACATGTTGCTCAATGAAGGATTAGAGCCTTAGGAAGGACAATGGAAGGAATAAGCTATTTTACACCATTGCATCTAGGGAAGGAATCCAAGTATTTGAAAGGTGTTGTTATTTACTAGGGGAGTAGTGTAGACATACCCAGGGAGAATTCAAAGGGGCTAAGTTTCACCACAGTTCTTGGCACGCTGTGAAACTTCCCATATCCATTTGTGTACTGGCAAGACCTTTTCTCATTTCCACAGCTATAAACCGTTAAAATGGCAAAAGAAAACAATATTCAAAAATTTCTGTTTGCAAAATGAAATAGTCACCTTTCCGAGGGATTCAAGAGAGAACCATCCTTGGACCCCGTGGAGAATTTTCATCCCATTCCAACAAGTCCATTTGTTATTTATTGTAAATTCTGCCAGTATGTTTGTAATTTTACACAATTCCTTAGTGAAGTCAGCATTTTCTGTACTACAGACCAGTGTCTCTGCTGCATCTGGTCAATGCAAAGTACAGCAAGGATGACGTAAGTGAGCCAATCTGCAGCTCCCTGACGGTCAGTCTGGCTGTGTCCCAGTCCTAGCCCCTGATGTAGTTTACAGCATCCTGATAAGTGTTAGGAATCTGTGTGTCCTGGGACAGGTTAGGAGGCTTGCAGATGCAGGGCTGGTGTTAGGGTAAGCAGGCTGGGTGACTGCCTAGAGCTCCATGCCACAAGGAGCCCTGTGAAGTTAAGTAATATGCCCGAGCTCTGCTGCCCACAGCTCAAATCCAAGCCCAAACCCTAAGGTTTAGGGCTATAGCCTGAGATTAAGGGAGGGAGTCACTTTTTTAAAAATCCAAAGATAGCCATCAGCACAAAAAAAGGCAGAAAAACACTGTTGTAAACCAGTGTTTCTCAATCAGTGATACGAGTACCCTTAGGAGTACTCGAGAGAAGGCTGGGGGGACGTCAACACAATTGAAATTTGGAGAAAACTGATTTTTGTTTTAAGTTTCAGCGCTTTATTATTTTTGTACTTTTGACACCCAAATATTTCATTGCCCGCCTGGCTACGATTAAGTTGTTTAAACAAATGTGTTGCAATGGTAGAAAAAATGTTGTGCGTCTGAAAACTGTAGGTACCGGGGGTACTTATAATTATTTTTTTAGAAAGGGTGCTTTATAAAAACGGTTGATAAACACTGCTCTTAACAATGCCAGTTTGTCCCAAAGAGTATGTCTGCAGTTGGCACGGGTCAGCTGACTAAAAACTGCAGTGTAGATGTCTGGGCTCAGGCCGGAGCCTGACTCTGAGACCCTGTGCGGGGGTGAGTCTCCTCACTTAACCTAAGCCCAAGCTCAAATGTCTATACACACTGCAAACTTTTGACCCAGGCTCTGAGACTTGATGCCATTTTTTTTTAGTGCTGTTTAAATGTACCATTTGTAAACAACTTCCAGCCAAGACAAGCCAGAGCACAGTAGAACTTTGGTCACACCTCCAATACACCTTCTCTGCCAAGCCATGGAGGAGAGTAGCAGCCAGTCATCCTAGTTCTACTCCAGCTGGAGGAATTTTCATCTGAGATCCCTTTTTGACCTCTGAGTGTTCTCACATGGCATAAGTGGGCTGAAGAGGGCTAGAGAATTTGGCCCTACATTTCCCACACTGTTATGTCTGACACATTCTTCTATTTCCAGTAGAAAATATCTATCAAGAAACAACATTCTTATAATTGCTGAGGAGTCACATGGATATCTAGAGCCCCACTCTTAATGGCAGGAACTAGCCAGCTGTTCCAGAAGTGGAGGACACTGGGAATTAAATTAAGGGAGCCAGAAGTAACAACAGAAAATAATCCTTCCCTGATCTGATGCCAGTTACTCATGCAAGCATGACTTTTGTGTGGCTAAACCAAGAATACTGTGCAGGTAGGTATGGCATACACCAGGAACATCGCTCAAAAATTTGAACTTATTGTTATCCCTATTTCAGCTCCACCAGTGTTAGCAACACTGAAAGTATTAATATATGCTCACCAGCAGCCTTTCTTAAGCAGCAGATCTTAGACACACATGCATTTGGTCTAACTGGCACAGCGCTTAAAATGCTGGCAGCAGCGTGGAGCCCAGTCTCACACTGGCTCTCAGCACCATTATGCTGGTGGAACTGAACTAGTGTTAGCAAAAATGTCCCAATTGTCGTTATGACCATGAGGCTTACAGATAAGAAGAGGGCAATAATTAGATTTTTTTCATTCATCGCAGTCACAATTATTTTTCTTTTAGCGAGTGTGTGAGTGTGAGTGTGTATGTGAATTTAATGCTCATGAAAAGTGCTGTCTGACTCGGCCTGCTGGCAGGGGAGGCAAAGGGAGCAACTGCCCCAAGGATCAGCCATTTAAAGGGTACGGTGCTGTTGGCTGCTACCACTGCTACTGCAGACACGTTAGTGGCCAGAGTCTCAGGCGCCTGCTTCCAGAGCACTGCACAGCATACTGCACAGCCTCCATTGGCACACTCTGGATGGCACGCAGAGGGGTGGGCAGTGAGTTCCGGGTTGGCAGTGCGTTTCAGGTGGTTCTGAGGGCCGGCTGCCCTGCCCGGCCCCTCCTGCCCAACACCCTGCCTCTTCCTGGAGCGTGAAGCCTACCCACCCCCACCCCCTTGGACAAGATCCAGGGGCCCTGTGAGTCTGTTGGCTTGCCTGTGTCTGACTTGACCATCCTGAATAACAATGACTTCTCTGTATGTACAGTATAAATAAAGCAGAATACAGGCAGCAGCAGTGCATGTATCCTGACAGCATCCCCTACACATGCTCTGGAGAAACCACCTCTAGGAATGAGACAGTAATTCAAACCCCATGCTCATTCAGACTACTATGAAGGGTGCCAATGAGCTGAGGTAGTTTCTGTGATAGATACCTGTCCACTGGAACTGGATTAAAACCACCAAATCATTTCATATAGGCCACCGACTAGTCAACAGATGGTAGCTGACTTTGCTCACTACCTATGTTGGATGGATTTCCTGTTTGTCAGTGGAAGGGAGTAGTCTGAGTGAGATTTTGACAAGGTAAGCAATGCTTGTATTTCAGGAACATCTCCATCTTTTTTCCTTCTTTTTCTTGCCCTTCCATACATGGACAGAAAATATTGTTTTGAAGCCATCAACCTAGCATCACTTCCAAGCTAGCACTACCAACTTATCAGGTGAATGAGAGCTTAGCCACATAACTCTGGTTGATTATAGTTGTAGCGTGGAGTTAAAATAATAGGGATTTTTGTTTGTTTTCAAGACAAATCTGAAATTTGTTTATTTTAAATGATTGGAAAAATACAGCAAGAGCGAATACCAGATGAGTAGCTCCGAATTGATCTGAAATCAGTGCCTAACACCTGTGTAGATAGGGCTGTTGTGTATTACCTGGCAGGTAAGAAGTCCCTCTGTAAGAGCCAGAAGGCTGCGAATTTTAGATAGAAGCTGGGATGCTCTCTGCACATATGGAGAACTGAAATGGTCTTCTTCACTATGGAGGTTTTTCTGGGTTAAATCAGAATGCATTGACTTCATATCCTGTATGGACACATTGGGGTCTGTCAGATTACTGGACAAAGGCTGCTTCCCATATGAAAATGCAAATAGTATGCATAACTAGTGTTATCAAAGAAAAGCTACATGCAACATAGGATTCTCACCAGTACTTATCATTTATAAGATAAACTTCAGAGTGAAATCTGGGAGCTGAACATGAGTACATGATTCCGTCTTCTTAGATTTTACAATAATGCTTTGAATACTTCAGGTTCTGACACAGATCTCCCATATGACCTTTTGGAGCATATTCCTATTTACCATAAATACCTCCCAGGGAAGGGACTGTGCCTTCTTTATTTGGAAAATACCTGGCACACTATATATGTTGGGGAACCTTAGGGAAAGGGAGCTTTCAGTCTCCACAGAACAGGCAGTGTGTCTCTCCTACTCAAGATACATCAGGAGATCTGTAGGGCCACTCTGCTGGATTCACACAGCAACAGAAAGGTGAAACATTCATGCAAAAGTCCAGAGGTTCCTCAGTATTCCTATTTCTCCCTGATTCACCTAGTAACTGCTCCTGTTAGCTCCCCACTTGTGCCTAGATCTGGACCTCTGAGAGTTTGACAGCACAGAGCTGGAATCTGCATGAGATACTGCAGGGAAATCCCAAGGGGTGGGAGAAGGTAGGAGGAGGGTGACCTAGTCATGCCAAAATCTGTACACAGGTTTCTGTAGCTGAATCTCCCTCCTTCTGACATAATTTGTTGGAATATATTTGGTGTGCACATTCCATTCTTTCTTCTGCTTCATGTGGAGATGGGAGATGGATGTGGACACACTTATTTTCCCACTTTTAATTTACTGTACACTCCAAATTACAAATGGTAAAATGTATCTTAATTCTATTCACTCAAATGTTTGTGAGAGCCACTGTATTAGACATATTTCCCAGCTTAGATCCCAATCCAGCAAACCATGTAAACATAGGCCTATCTTTGAACTGTTGGCATAGTTCCATATACTTAAAGATAAGCACATGCTTAAATGCTTTTTTCAGCTAGAAGTCTTAGTACTAAGTCCTGTTCTTGTACTTCTTAGTCAGAATCCGCATCGGAATCAATTGGCGTTTTGAATAAGTAAGGAATATCATCTGTATACATGAAAGCATAACTGAAATTAAATGACATGAAAGAAAGAAATGCTATTGCTATGATAAAACATTCTTCTTAGAAAGGACGGCACATGTCCCAACATACCAGAAGAAATCTCCCCAGAATGTGCATTTTCCACTCTATTTCTTCTTCTTTCTTCCTTAGTTCTTCCTTCTGTATGCCAATTTTATGTCGGAGTGTCTGGATCATTTGATATTGCATCTGCTCCTAGCATGAAGACAGCAGAATTAAAGAAGAAATCCTCATATGCTGCTTACATCTCTGCTCAATGCAAAGACTCATTTACTCAGACCTATACTCCTACCTTTCACTGAGAAAAGAAAAGAAAAGATAGAACAATACTACTTGTTAGGGGACCATAACTCTCCCCACTCCCTGAACATACCATATATACTCGAACATAAACCTTTTTGTTCATAAGCAGATCCACTACCCCAAGTTCCAGAAAAAAAAAAGTTAAAAAGTCAATTACGCGTTTACAAGCCAATTCTATATCGGCAGTCTACAAACTTTTGGTCCTAGCTCATCAGCATAAGCTTCCACCATGTCAGGATGTTTTGTTTACCTGAAGCATCTGCAGGCTCCCAGAGTTTGTGATTCGCTGTTTCTGGCCAACAGAAGGAGCAGGGAGTGGCAGCCAGCATGACCCCACGGCTCCCACTGGCTGCTGTTCACTGTTCCCAGTCAATGGGAGCCGGAGGAAGCAGCGTGGGCTGAAGGATGTGCTGGCTGCAGCTATGGAGCCTCTCAGTTCCCATTGGCTGCTGTTTGCCATTCCCAGTCAATGGGAGCTGAGGAATGCAGTGCTGGCCAAGAATATGCTGGCTGCCACTTCCTGACACTCCTGTTGACCCAGAAAGGTGAACAGCAGCGACTGAGAGTTGAGAGCCTTGGTGCCCACAGACACTCCAAGTACATTAAATGTCCGGGAACGTCAGCGGTTTGCCATGCTGCAAACTGAAGTTTGCCAGCCCCCTCAAGTAGAAAAAAAATATGATGCACAATGACCTGATTATAAGCTGACTCCCACTCTTTACAGTGTGATCTTTTTACCAAAGGAATTTGGCTTATGATCATGTATATATGGTATGCATTTTGAGCACCATATTCATTTCAGCGAGGGATTTTAAATATATAATTAGTACTCACAACCACAATATTCAGACTGTAAAAAGTAAGTTGCATTTAGCACCTATCTGTGACTTTCATTTTATGCAAGCAGTCGTGTGTGTTTGCTATGTGCGATTTGGGTTAAATTCACCTTTATACAGAAGCAAATCAAGGCCTGTGTATCAGTGAGGTCTGCAAACTAGATCTTAAATGGGGGCACTGAGATTCTGTGGAGGGGTGAATTTCACCCCTGTCTAAAAAAGTTAAGGAAAAGCATGTGGTGGCCACTGAGGCTCTGTCTACACCCTGCAGTGTAGACATAGCCTGAGTGTATGAACTACCTAGGTTCTTACACTTTTTACAGTGCTACAGTAGGTCAAGGATTCAACGTGTATGCAAATACCTTTACTATTTGCGACTCCCTGACTTTGTCATATTGCTCTTTCCACTTGGCAGTTTCAAGCTGGAGGAAACGATTTTGCTCTCTGTCTTTCACTATCTGTTGCTGAAGCTCTTGGTTCTCTATTTTGAATGCAGTAATCTGCTGTTGCATTTTCTCTGTCTCAGCCCGCTCATTTTCAGATTCTGTTTGCAAGATTTTAATCTGAGCAACCAGCTTGTTATAACTGGACTCCAACTTCTGCATTTCTGCCAGCCTGTCGTCCTTCTGTCTCTGAAGTTCTGCCTGAAGGGACAGGAGTTGTTTTTCGGCGTTCTCCTTTTCTTCTCTTAGTCTGTGCAAGGCAGAAGTGGCAGTTTTGACCTCATGCTCCAGCTTTTGTTTGAGATGTTGAAGTTCTTGTATTTCTTTCTCTCTCCTGCGTAGAATCTGATCCATCTGTAAGCACTGGGTCATAGATTTGGTCTTCAACTCCATCTCTGTCTCATGCTTTTCCTGAAGGAGACTATAATCAGTTTTGAGTTTTTCCAACTGCAGCAGCAGGACTTTTCTTTCAACCCCAGCTTCCTCAAGATGCTCCCTGGCAGTAGATAAAGCCTCCTGCACATTCTTCAGGCAGCTGTCAGTCTCAGATTTCTCCACAGTGATCTTGTCCTTTGCTTCAATCAGATCTTCAATATTCTTCTTCAGCTTGTTTATGGTGTCTATAAAATGCTGCTGCTGGACAATTTCCATCTCTAGCTGTTTAATCTTGGTCTCCATAGAAATATTATCATAGTAAAGATCCATGATTTGGGTCTGCTGTTTCTTCTGGGCCTGTTCTACCTTCTTCATGACCTCACCTAAGTCCATACCCTCCTCTTCAAGCAGCAGCTTCTCTATTTCTTTAATCTTTTTCTCCAAAAAAATATTATCATACTGAAGATCCATGATTTGGGTTTGCTGCGTTTGCTGATCCTGTTCTAATCCCTTGATGACCACATTCAAGTCCACATCTCCCACCTGGACCAGCCATTTCTCTGGGCCAGGCTCCGAGTTTTTTGTCTCGTCCATATTGAAGGATGCTTCATATGGACAGAGGCTGTGGTTGCTTGCATTATGAGATAGGAGAATTCCTTTACTATCTGTGTCCCCTTGTGTGCATTCTTCTTGACTATTGAGTGACTTCTCAGAAGGATGGAATAAAGCCTTCTCAGATATACATGCTCCCTGGGGACAACCACAATCTCTTGTCAACTTATTAGAAAAATAAATACACTTGAATTGACTGGCTGTGATTGTCTGCCTTATTTGACTAGTTCACCTTAGGATAATTTTAATGAGTTCCATTTACTGTAAGAGAACCAATATTGTGGCCATTCTACCATTCCAAACAGGAGTTCACATCCTGCCATCTTTGGTTGGTTTTCCCTACTCATACTACATTTGCATTAACTTAAATGGAAGTATTACTTATGGGAGAACCAAATCAATCTGACCTAGGAACTACAAAGCAAGCAAGCGAACAAGCAAACAAACAAGATTAATAAATAAATATAAAATTTTAATACTCTTTTTATAGTATTTTTTATTCTGAAATGATTAACAACTCATTTTTAATGGCAAAAAGTTAAAATTGCTATAAATTGAAGCAGATTTTTTCCCAATGAGAAATAGGTTGCTGGGTATTTTCCTGGACTGACAATGAATAAAAAACAGCATCTCTCTAGGGCCCTGGTCCTGCAATAAAACTCGTGGTCATTGTGTTTGTGCAGAGCCCCAACGAAATGAATGGGGCTCAAAGGGATGTCCTTGTAAGTTTGGGTCCTCAACTGTGACGAGCTCTCATCTTAAAACTCCCATCTTAAAAACTCAAGTCATCAGTCACAGCTATTGCACTGGCTAGCATGAATGTAGAGACAGAAAACATTTAAGAGAAAAAGGCAAACAAGAACACAGATGAAAAGTGACTTTCACTGATCCATTCAACAATGTACGTGTTGAATTTTTGTATGCACTGCATAAGGGAGATTTCACTCAATGATGGGTGCAGCTCAACCAAAAGAGAAATTAAGGGCCAATTTCTTCTGTCTGTTCCCTTGAGTGACCCCATTGACTTCAGTGGAAGAGAGCAGCTATGCCTAGCATGAGAAGGCCCTGATTCTTGATTTAGAGTTCCCAGATACTATAATAATAAAACTAATACTAAACTGGAACAGAATTTGACCAACACATTTTCACTTTTCAACTTATTTAAACTAAAAATCTCTTCTCCTTGTTGCATATCTGTGGCTAAACAGATAGAAAAATTGTAAATAAAAGGCATCTCACAGACTCAGGCAGAAGGCTGCTGCCAACACTTTCCTCTTTGTTGCAACCATGCATTAAGTTGCTCTTGATATTTTCTTTGAGGAGCCTATTTGATTGCATCAGAGCTCGAATATATTCTATGTTTTCATTCAAAGAGACTGGAGAAATATCCTTCAAGTTGTCTGCACAGTCAATGTATTGTTCAGAGGCTGTCTGCCAAAAGAAGGCAAGTGTTTGTAAACTAAATAGGAACATCAGTGAAAATATACACTCTCATAATATTCAGAGCTCAGTTAATTCAATAGGCATTTCTACTGTAGTATCAAGGGGGGATTTAGAATACATCTACTTTGCTATTAATCTACATCTGCTTTGTTATTAATAACATCATATACCAGGTACACAGCTAACCCAGAGAGACTACTACTAGGAATGCACAGCATTTCAAATATCACCACTCGCTGTAATAGGGAACATCATTTTCATCAAAATGTCTCCACTTTCTTGTGGGAAGGAGTTTGATATCTTACCATATTTCCTTCATGACTGGCTGCTTTGCCAGCCACGTTGAAGTTGTCCTCTCTGAAAACTAGTTCTTCAGTAACAAAACATGGATTTTTCTTAATTAAAGAGCCTGTGGGTTGGGTGAGAAAACAGGACACTTCTTTTATGGGGGATTCCTTAACAATGCACTCCAGCAATGACTCCCCCATTATCACAAATGAATCTTCCAGAGGTAACAATTCTTTTGCCAGTAAAACTTTCTCATTCTCAGTTTCCCATGGTGCTTCTTTAATCAAGTTTTTCCCCATAATGGAGCTTCTCTTTGACTCATCCAGCATTTTGCTTTGTTGTGTTGATTCTCCTTTGGATAATGATTCCTCCCGGGGGAAGAATATTCTTTTATTATCGGAGGATTCCTTCCAGTCTGTTACATGCAGAGACTCCTTGGTGTTAAGGCATGTTCTTGTATCACATGACTGTTGCCAAACTTTCCGTGAAGAGTCTTCAGAATCTGCACACAGGATGGGATTGAATAAATAGATTGGAACTGGTTCATAGAACATTAATGGAAATATCATGCTTCAACTGAGAAGAGGTATGCTGTTCTGCTTGGGATTAGCACAATAGGGATATGATTTTCTTTCAGTTTACATGACTTTCTGATCAGAAATAACCTAACCTGAACATGATGCACCTGCATGAATGCTCACACCAGGGACTAGGTTAGCACACTCCAATTTCAGCCCTCAGATACAAGTGTGCAATATCCACTGAAATCAATGTGCATGTGAGGGCAGAATTTAGCCTATAATGTTGGACAATAGTGAATGGATGATGCAGAAGAATTAGCATGCTTTGGACTGGATCCTGGCTTCCATTATGCTGGTCTTTTATACTGGAGCAAGTAGCAGTACAGAATCAATCCTAATGCTCAAATGCTCTAATGTTGACTTGCATGCCACGGGCCAGATCCTTAGCTGATATACTGTACATCTATGTAATTCCATTGACTTTAGTGAAGCTATGCTGATTTTCATCAACTGGGGATCTGGGCCAGCAGCCTCATGAAGGGATAGTGTGCCAGCCAGTGGGTGTGTGCAACCCCCACAGAGAGCTAAGCACATATGCTGCTGTCCACAGCAAGTGCTAGTTGGGTGTGCATGCTGCTCCGGCTCACAGGAGTTGGGAGCAGCAGGTTGTGGCAGCCTATTCTGAGTCATCAGTGAGCCTGCACAGACCGAAGGTCTGACAAGTCCAGAACAGCTGTGAGGACCAAATTCTCTCATTCTGGCGTCACTGTGAATATAGAGGAAGGGAATTGATTATTCACTGCAATTTACAAGTGAAATTTGTGGGTTGGAGAATTGACTATGGACCTCATCATTCTTCTCTAGGGGTATGTCTACACTTGCCCCCTACTTTGAAGTAGGGAGGCAAATGAAGCATACTGAAGTTGCAAATCAAGCCCGGAATTTAAATATCCTGCACTTGATTTGCATGTTCCCAGCCGGGCGCCATTTTAGAAATTCACTAGCCCGAAGTAACTGCCCTCGTCTACACATGGCAGTGAAATGGGAATCCGATTTAAAGCCCCTAATTTGAATTAGCTGGTAAACCTCATTGCAGAAGGAATGCACCTTAGAGACCAACAAAACATGTAGATAGTATCATGAACTTTCGTAGGCGGGAAAGAGAAGGAAAAAAATCTTGTCAGTTAGAGCAGTGTTTCTCAATCAGTGGCACGAGTACCTTTGGGGTACTTGAGAGAAGTCTGGGGAGTACATCAACACAAGTGAAATTTGGAGAAAACCGAATTTTTGTTTTAAGTTTTACAGCGCTTTATTATTTTTGTACTTTTTACACCCAAAAATGCCATTGCCTGCCCAGCTATGATTAAGTTGTTTAAACAAATGTGTTCCAGTGGTAGAAAAAAATTGTGTGTGTCTGAAAACAGTAGGTACTGGGGGTATTTACAATTTTTTTTAAAGGGGTACTTTATAAAAAAAGGTTGAGAAACACTGAGTTAAAGCATCTTTCCTAAATGAGGCTAATAGAATGTTCTGTAAATACCCAGGACGTAGCTTTTGATGTCCTAGGGTGTGGAATGTAGCAGCCCATCCAGTTCAGGTCTTCGTTCAAACCTTGATTACAGGTGTCACATTTGTAAATGAAGGTAAGTTCTGCAGCTTCTCTCTCTAGCTAGTTTTTTAAATTGCTTTGTAATAACATAGTCACTTTTAGATCCATTACTGAGTGCCTGAGCAAGTTAAAACCCACCCCTGCAGTAAACTCTGGAGCCAGCTCTGTCCACACGTCTGTACAAGTGACATTATCACAGGACCCAACCCCATTAACCACCACATCAGAGGCTAATACCACTGCATATCCACCAATGTGATCTATGCCATCAAGTGTCAGCAATGCCCCCCTGCCATGTATACTGGCCAAACTGGACAGTCTCTGAGAAAGAATTAACGGACACAAACCAGATATTCAAAATAGTAACACACAGAAACTTGTTGGGGAACATTTTAACTTGCCCGGGCACTTTTTGTTTTTTAAGTTTTTCCAGATACAGATTAACATAGCTATCCCTCTGAGACTATGGGTACGTCTAGACTACATGCCTCTGCCAACAGAGGCATGTAGATTAGACTACTCGGCATAGGAAAATGAAGTGGTGATTTAAATAATGATGAGGCATACCTGGGAGGTTGACAAATACCTTTGATGTTGACCACGGAGCGTGCAGACTACCGCGCTGAGCCGACAAACAGCTGATCAGCTCAGTGAGGTAGCCATTTAAATTTAAATGAAGCGGCGATTATTTAAATTGCCACTTCATTTTCCTATGCCAGGTAGTCTAATCTACATGCCTGTCGCCAGAGGCATGTAGTCTAGACGTACCCTATGAAAGGATTGTTAAAGTTCTTTCTATTTCATGATTCACTGCCAAAGTGGAACATACTGTAAATCAGATTTTCCAACCCTGGCTCAAAAAGATGGTCTCCTTTGTAGAGCCTGCAGCCAGGATCCCTTTTCCTCCTCACATTCCGTATTTCATCCTGCAAACACAAGAAGGGGACGCCTTAACAATCCACCTCGCTTGGCTCTTCTGCAGGTAGCAGGGCTCCCCCACGCATCACAAAAAGAGTCACTACACACAGACGATTTTTCTGTTTTCTCCAATAAGGGTAAACTACAGTGTATTTGCTTTTCCTAACCAAAGGTGAGCAACCATCATCATTAAGGTAACTAAACTGAGGCACAGAGAGGTTGAGGGTTAGATGCAGCTTTTAGGCATCACCCTTTGTATGGAGCAGTGCGTAGTTATAATGACTCACAGAAAAGAGCAATTCCTTGTTTCTGGGGTTAGGAAAGGCTGATACAGACTGAAAGTTCCCCCAATGCCAGCTCACTTATGCTGACTGGCATGTTGAATGGTGGTGGAGCTGCCAGTTAGCCTGCTCTGGCCACTCCGAGCTGACCTGTGTGGGGGTGAAGAAAACACTCTGGGCATGTAGCCCCTGCTTCCTCCCTCCTGTGCCTGAGACCAACAAGACATGGGGAAGCTCCACAGAGGTGGTGGCCATGTGGGAGGGTGTCTTTCACTCCTGCACAGCCATGTAGGTCAGGTCACACCACAAAACTATAGCAGAGCAGAAATTAGAATCCCGATTTTTGAACTCCAGGCTTCAGCTCAGTCCAATAATTTACAGCTTCCCCCCTGTTTCATTGGCTATCATAGTCTGTCTAGATATCGATGAGCTATCCATCAACACACTGAGTGTTTTTATCCTCACTGTACCCTTGTGAGATAAGGAAGGGTTGTTTTCCCCATTTCACAACTAGGGAACTGAGTCACAAAGATACTGAGTAATTGGTGCCAAGTCACACAGGAAGTCTGTGGCAGAGCAGGAATAAAAACTGATCTTCTGAGCCCCAGCACAGTACTTTAAATATGCGATTGTCCTCCTGAGGGCGTGATACGTTTGCTAGCTGCTTGCAGATGCAGTGCAGCACCATGAGGTGCATCACGACTCCCATGAGTATGACAATGCTTTCCAGCACACCGGGCTCCATGCTCTCAGTGCTCTGACGTCCCTGTGGAAAATCAGGGCACCAAAAGGCCGGGCTCCATGCTCTCAGTGCTCTGACGTCCCTGCGGAAAATCAGGGCACCAAAAGGTATGAGCACACTGCGTGTCCCCTTTATCTCACGCGAGCGGGGAGGGACTAGAGAAATACCTTATGGGATGCAGTCAACATAAGTCCCTCTAACTACTCACGGCAGAATTTTGGACCCAGGAGGCACTGTAAGCACAGGCCCGACTGCAAAACTACCCATGGTGCCTCGTTCTTTGAGTTGACAGTAGGCTCCCTATTGGGGACGCCCTACTCTGGACAACATTCGATTCCTCCCCATACTGAGGACACCGACCTTTGCCTCCTCAAAACTGTGCCCAGAAACTGACCATGTTAAATTTGACCTTATCTCATAGTGTTGACATACCCCTGTTGACTCCAGCACTCCACCAGAATGAGAAATGGAGGTGGAGGCAATGGGATAGAGTCAGCTATCGACTTACAGAGTGAAGATACTGTGGCAAATAGATCTAAGTATGTCAACTTCAGCTGAAGGTGTGTAACTTAGATCGATGGTCTGCGGTTGTGTAGGCTAGGGGACAGAAACTGGTAGATGTTAATGCTGGAAGTAATGTTGCCGCTCTCTACAGTGTATAGTTACTGAGCAGTAGTGTTTTAAATAGTTTGGGAGCCCTCTAGTGGACATTCCTCTCTTCTGTTTTTGAAGACAGCAGGACAGTGGTGTATATATGAAGCTAGGTCTTGACACTTGTATAAATACCTACAGAGCTATTACTTTGATAGGGTGAATCAGGTAGACTGCTCCGGACTCAGTGCTTTGGGAGGCCCCATGCTTCAGTGTGTGTGTGTAGTGCAGGGCTCAGGCTCAGTATCTGGCAACTGCAGCCATAGATGCCAACTCTGTAGGTGCTCCAGAGCTGGAGCACCCACAGAAAAATAATGGTGGGTGCAAGGCATCCCCCTATCAACACCTCTCCCACCCCACAGCACCTCCCGACCACCAGGCCTTGCAGCTCAGTGCCCCCCCTACACACTATGGATCAGCTATTTTGAGGTGTGAGGAGGAAACGGGGGGGGGGGTGAGGGACTAGTGTGCTTGTGGGAGGGTGTAGAACTGGGTGGGAAGAGGCAGGGCAAGCATGGGACATTTGAGAAGGAGTTTGGAATGGGGGCAGGGCCTGGGCCAAGCCAGAGGCAATCCACCCCCAGCAGATTAGAAACACAGGCTGGTTTGTCCTGGGCCCTGTACCCCCCCTAGAGATGGCTTTGCACATATATTTTGTAATTACACTTATTTGTAACCCAGCTGTGTCTGTGTGGTTTCCTCATATTCCTAATGCTGCATAGAGAGCAGACACACCACTCTCAGAAAAACAGCTCACACAAAGCCATGGCCACAAGAACTTGCCTTACTGGGGGAACATATCGGTCAGGATACCAGCATGTAATTCCCAGTATGTAAATATTCATGGGATATTTAATTTCCATGTGAACTGATCCCAGAGGGGATGGGGAAATATAGAGATATCCCAAAGTTACTCTATGACATACATACCTCTGAAGCTCTATTGCTGCTTTCAACATTAAGAGAATCTTGGTGGGTGAACTTCAGAGAAGAATTGCAGAGGGAAATGGCATCTCCTTCACTCATTGTATTTAAAGGCTGCTGGGTAAAAGCATTGACCTTTGATTTACTGATTACTGACAAAGTTAAAGACTTTTGATAACCTTTATCTTTACCTATTGGATGATGAGGAAACATCTACAAATAAAAGATTGTAACCCTTTTAATTTCACTTAGCTTAAACCACTAACAATGCTAGCAAAAGGCTGGCCTCCCACCTTCATTTTTCTAATGCACCAACAAACAAACATCAAGCAGTTATGTATTAGTTTTTAACAGTGTTGTGGTAGCCATGTTGGTTTCAGGATATGAGAGAGACAAAGTGGGCAAGGTAATATCTTTTAATGGGCCAACTTTTCTTGGTGAAGCTTGAAAGCTTGTCTCTTTAATTAACAGAAATTTCTCCGATATTACCTCACCCGCTTTGTCGCTTGTATTGAATATTAAGAGATTATTATGACATATGTAGAGAAATGTGATCTGAAATGTGACTGAAAATTGGGAACTCCATTAGGTTCAGTTGGAGCTTTTTTTGAATAAGATTTCATTAGAAGATTTTATTATACATTATATATACCAGTATATATAACAGAGACCACACAATCCACATTATGGTATGAAATAATGAGTGTATGAAAGTGTATATACATCTGCCTTTACAGAGTAGCAATTTTTACTCAGGAAAAACTTCAGTGGGTGTCTTTGAAATTCCTGCACCCAATATATATATATATATATATATATA